TTCCTCCCTGGGATTATTAAAGTATTTCTGATTCTGATTCCTGGTTGATGGGACAGGTGTTGTGAATGAAACGACACCCAGCTAGAAAGAGCTCCTGTGTGTCGCTGAATGTGTGCATTGATGACTGAAAGACATCTTCTGCCTCCATTTATCTGTTTACTACAGTGTGTTGAATTCATGTTAATGTGTATCTAAGAACATTTCAATTAGTGGAAATAATCGCAGGGGGGAATATAAAAGAAAAGTCTAAACGACCAAAACTTTTGCGACCCCCATGCAGTACCTCTGCGGACCCCCTAGGGGTCGCGGACCCCCTGTTGAAGACCTCTGCTCTATATAATCTACTGTTACTCTGAATGTATGCATGCATGGATGTCTGTCCTGCACACCAACCCTTACTGCAATACCAGCATTTATTCCAACTACAGGCTAGAAATGTAGTTGGAAATGTAATGTAATAATATATATATATTTTTTTTTTCAACAAGTCAAATCATGTTGGAGAGGAAAATAACTTTAAATATATTATCCCAAAAAAAAAATTTTGGTGCAAAATACAGAAAATATGTTTTGAAAATTTTATATGTTGCAACAGCTTATTAACCCATTAGCTTAGGTTTAGAGACACGGGATCCTGTTCAGCACTTTGTTGGAAATCTAATGGATTTAATCATTACAAATTGCATCAGCAGTATGGATTTACTTCTACTAAAGAGACTTATGGGTCAGGATTTTTCAGATGTCTGGTATCAAAACTGATGTGAATCCAGGATGAGGTTCTGCTTCTGAACATGTTGGGATGGTCACACAGGAAAACCACCACCTGATTGCTGATCAGTTTAATTAGTTTATGATGGAAACTGTACCTTTAATCATGTTTGAAATAAATAAAATAACGTTCTACATTCATGTTAAAAGCTATAAAAAAAAAGAAAGGAAAAGAAAAACAACACAAAGTTTCTCTTTCCAACAAAAGCCTTTTATTTCTCCCAAATATTTCACAGTCAAGGTCCTAAATCAGGCAGAGCCAAACGGGTTTTGGGGGAAATTAAATAAAAAAGCAGAAACAAAAATAGCTGAATATTTTATAACCAATATAAAAAACATGTCTGATCTAAAATACTGTAGTGGTTCAGGGAGTAAACATTAAAATGTGCAACTGGAAAACAACTGGAGTATAAAACTTTTCACATTTTTCAGGACATGTTTAGGTTCTGTTTTCTCATTAATGCAGGATTTAAACTTGCTAACTGGAACCGATGTGTGAAACGATCAGAGATGTTAACAGAACTTTTTAATCTTATCCAGACTTTCAAAAAAATCAGAACAAACCGTGTGGATCTGATCATAAAGAACATTTTCCTCTTTGAATTCTGATCATGCTGAACTTCCAACCCAAACCCACAGAACACGGATCTTCAAAGAAGATAAAGACGTCAATGAACAGAGATAACAGAACCCTGATAGGAGCTTCCTCTCTTATCTCTGGGGCTCATTTTAAGGCTGAAGACCTTTCTGACCCGATCCAATCAGAACCAGACATACAGACGTCTAACAAAGAGACCCTTTGAGATTAACAAGCTTTTATGCTTTTAATCAGAAATCTAAAAGCGTCACAAAAAGAATCGTCTCCCAACTGGGATATGTTAACATTTTTGATAAAAATGGGATTTAAAAACGAAAAGAAAAAAACATTTTTTCTGATTTTTTAACAGGAAAAAGATGAGAAAACTTTAAGAAAGAAAGATGGAAAAACTGATCTGAGAAGAACTTTTCTGTTTGTTAGATGAAGGAATGAGATGAAGAACAACTAATCTGAGGTTTTATCTGATGTCACGCTTCAGTCATGAAAACTCTCATTAGACCAGCGTGGTTTTAGGTCTTAATGCCCTGCTCACTGTTTTCTTCAGGTATTATTACACCTTTAAAGCAAAAAAAAGTCAATCAAGGGAGGCCTAAGATGATTTTCATGATCTGATAAAGTGCCAATTAAATTCAAATAAACTTGTCTATTTCCTAAATGTGAGAAGAACCAGATGAGGAGACTGTTAGTCAGATGGAAACCTCAGTAACCTGATATTATTTCTAGTTTAGATGCTTTGGTCCATTCATTGCTGCATTCAGCAGCCATGCCTTCAGATCATCTAAGGCACATTTATTGTTGCTTCATCCTTTTGCTTTCAATTGCTTGATTTGTTTGTGGGGGATTTTTTAACTAGATACGTAGACATTTGTTATTGTTTTTAATGGAAAAGGAGGAATAGAAAGAATGAACCCATTAGAATCAGCAGGGATCAGTTAGAATGAGGTTAAAATTATCGGCATCGACCTTAAAAACCTTCATCCATTAATCTCTGCCTCTGATCTCTGTATTTTTTTTAGACTTTATTAAATTTTTGTATATTTCAAATGTTCAAACTGGATTGAAAACATAAATGATAAATTTGGCACATGAATTTGGTCGTTTTTTTTTTAGTTTGGCCCTTCCGTTGGTTCTGACCCCTTCTCTTCATCCTTTCACAGTTTTCTTTCCCGTTTCTCCCCCCTTTCTTTCTTTAGGCGTCCTCCTCCACCTCCTCGTCAAACTCGCCCTCCTCCTCGGCGGTGGCGTCCTGGTACTGCTGGTACTCGGACACCAGGTCGTTCATGTTGCTCTCGGCCTCAGTGAACTCCATCTCGTCCATCCCTTCGCCCGTGTACCAGTGCAGGAAGGCCTTGCGGCGGAACATGGCGGTGAACTGCTCCGAGATGCGCTTGAACAGCTCCTGGATGGCCGTGCTGTTGCCGATGAAGGTGACGGCCATCTTGAGGCCGCGCGGCGGGATGTCGCAGACCGCCGTCTTCACGTTGTTGGGGATCCATTCGACGAAGTAGCTGCTGTTCTTGTTCTGCACGTTCAGCATCTGCTCGTCCACCTCCTTCATAGACATGCGGCCTCTGAAGACGGCGGCCACCGTCAGGTAGCGGCCGTGGCGCGGGTCGCACGCCGCCATCATGTTTTTGGCGTCGAACACCTGCTGGGTGAGCTCGGGCACGGTCAGGGCGCGGTACTGCTGGCTGCCCCGGCTCGTCAGCGGCGCGAAGCCGGGCATGAAGAAGTGGAGGCGGGGGAAGGGCACCATGTTGACGGCCAGCTTCCTCAGGTCGGCGTTCAGCTGGCCCGGGAAACGCAGGCAGGTGGTGACGCCGCTCATGGTGGCTGACACCAGGTGGTTGAGGTCTCCGTAGGTGGGCGTGGTCAGCTTCAGCGTGCGGAAGCAGATGTCGTACAGAGCTTCGTTGTCGATGCAGTAGGTCTCATCAGTGTTTTCGACCAGCTGGTGGACCGACAGCGTGGCGTTGTACGGCTCCACCACCGTGTCGGACACCTGAGACGGAGACGAAAGAAGAACAGTTTACCTTCATTTTTTAATCCAAACCATCTGAGCTGCACTTTTGGCTTTAAGAAGGTTTTTTTTTTAAAGGGAATTTATGACAATCTGACAACAAACGGGTTCATTTTATGCACAGAAGCGTATAGTAACTAAGCACATTTACTTTGTTAATCTATTTCTGGAAGATCTGTACTTTATTGAGTTTTTTTTGTTTGTTTGTTTTTTAATCAAGACTTAAATTAATTTTAATAAGAGCCATAAAATGTGTACTTTAACTTCTTTAACTAAAAAATTTAAGACGTTGTTTCTCACTACAAATTCAAAGAGGTGTCAAGTAAAGTACAAATACTTTGTTACCTTACTGAAGTAGCAATTTTGGATATCTATGCTTTACTGGAGTGATTCTTTCAAGACAACTTTTTATTTCTACTCCTTATATTTTTTTTAAATTATCTCTACTTTCTACTCCTTACATTCTAAAAAAAGACTCATTAGTGTTGTTTCATTTGACCCCATTTTCATTATGGCCTGTTGGTATAAAATTAAAAAAAATTAAATCCATCCAAATAACTTGTTTGATTCAGACAATATCTTTGTGGTTGGACTCGGTGCTGCCCCAACTTGTTGTTCGCCACATAGCAAAATAAATAGTTTTTTAAAGATGATGCAAAATACATTTTAACACTGTTACCATTAATTATAAAACTATGAAAATTAAGTATAAGGAAGTTATCATCCAGAATTTTAGCATTAATTTTACATTTATACTTTAAGTAGTTATCAAAATTGTACTTTTACANATGATGATAAATAACATAGTTATGTATAATATATTACATTTCTGACTGTATATCCCTGTAATTATTACACACTGTAGCTTTAAATTAATTTTAATAAGAGACATAAAATTTGTACTTTAACTTCTTTAACTAAAAAATCTAAGATGATGTTTCTCATTACAAATTCAAAGAGGTGTCCAGTAAAGAACAAATACTTTGATACCTTACTGAAATAGAAATTCTGGATATCTTTGCTTTACTGCAGTAATTCTTTTCTAGGCAACTTTTTACCTCTACTTATATATTTTTTTTTATTATCTCTACTTTCTACTCCTTACATTCTAAAAATAGACTCATTAGCTTTGTTTCATTTGACCCCATTTTCATTATGACCGTTGGTATAAAAATAAAAAAAATGAAATCCATCCAAATAACTTGTTTCATTCAGACAATATCTTTGTGGTTGGACTCGGTGCTGCCTCAACTTGTTGTTCGCCACATAGCAAAATAAATAGTTTTTTAAAGATGATGCAAAATACATTTTAACGCTGTTACCATTAATTATAAAACTATGAAAATTAAGTATAAGGAAGTTATCATCCAGAATTTTAGCATTAATTTTACTTTTATACTTTAAGTAGTTATCAAAATTGTACTTTTACATCTTTTCTTAATTATAAAGCTTAAGTTGATAAGTTGATACAAAAATGTTTTTAAACAGTAGGATTTATACTTCTACTTGGGCTTTAATAAACATTAATACCATATCATAAACAAAAGAAGAACTTTGGTTTTGGTTCACATTGCTTATTCATTCGGGGCAATAATGCACAACATAGTTTGTTTACAAAGTATTTCATGTTTTTTTAGTGTGGCTCTTTAAAAACAGTTAATTTGTTTTATTTCTCTAGAGGGATGAGTTATTTATACCACTACATATTTCACTTTATCAGTCCTTAAAAGCTGATAAACCAAAGTTACTGCTGAACTATTCTGCATAATAAGTCTAGTAACATTTACTTTGTTTTGCTTAAAAGTGATGCTGAAACAATGCACTTTGTTTTTTTCTTTTATCTTTCTGATGGAGGGAAACATGTCATAGTATTCTTGAATTAAACGGGGGGAGAAAGCGCTGATAATAATAATAATAATTCATTTAATTTATACTGCACTTTTCAACAAAAAGGACTCAAAGTGCTACAAAAAAGCATTAAAAAAGAAATACATAGAAAAAAAATTATATATATATATATATATATAAAATGAAATAAAAAAAAATAAATAAAATAATAAAAGCTGTTTTAAAAGAGAAAAAGAGAAACATCTAAGGGGGACCAAAAGTTTTGCTAAAAAGAAATGTTTTAAGGCCTTTTTTTCTGAATGCTGAATGTTGAAAACACTTTAAATCATATCTCAGTCTTATGTTTACATTTGATCACCATGTTTACATTTTTATCACTACTGAACTTTAAGAAACGGAAATGTCTTGAGAACCGCACTGAACGAAATTTGGTTTTGTATAAACTCTGTATGTAAAAAAAAAATGACAATAAAGTTTGTCTAATTCAAAGTTATAGAAGTTACTTTTAGTTTTCAGAGGCAGACAGCCCAGCAGTGGAAGCTTTTCGTTACACGAATGATTTCTTATAGACAGCTCCTTTTACATCAGCTCTACCTCCATTGTTTTAAAACAAGTGAAAACAATTTATTTTGCTTATTCTGATGCATAAAAATATCAAGTACTCAATAACTGAATAATTTTCTATTATTTTAGTGTTTTTCTTATCAGTGACCTTTCCTTTTAGCAAAGTCTTTTCTTGTTAAGTTTTTATTACTTAATTGTTTTTTGAAGTGCTTTAAAAAACTCTCTTTGTGCAGAACAGGTTTATATTAAACATACATTAATTTTAATCACCATTATGAGAGAAATATTTCTCTTTAAAAAGAGGGAAAACCTAAAAACACTCTGAAGTGGAAAAATGCTGAGGAAAATAAAAAGGCTCATGTTTAAAATCCTTTCTAAACTGAATAAAATTATTTCCTCGTCCAAACCGCTCCTTTAAAAGGGTTAGCATCTGTCCATAAATTAGATTAAAGCTTTAAAACAAAGATCATATCAGACTAAAGAACTTCTCCTGAGGATGGATCATTTTACCAGGATCCTAAAGCTCTCAGATTTTAGTTATGACCCTGATGCTCCTCGTTTCTGCAACTAGAAACTCTTATTCTTATTGGCAGTATTAGCAGGTCTTTTTTAGTTTGTTTTCCTTTGGATTTTAATTGAAAGTAAAGGAAACATGAAAGATAATGTTTTCATCTTGCATTTCTTCATGCTTTAAAACATTTCCGTCTCTTTCACTGTTATTCATTTAATGCTTTAAAGAGGTCAGATTTTCTGATTTTAGCAGCAAAAGCTGCAAACTAACAGGACGTTGGATCAACATGATGCTAACCCCTAAAATGTTAAATAGAGCCTCTAGACTTAATGACTGCCTCAACTCCATCAGTGATGTGAAAAACCCACATAGTTCAACAAGACTAATGTATTTTATACTTCAGTCGATATAATAATCAACAAATTGAGCATAAACTGAAAGGCTCATAAATAATGAAGCAATTAATTCCTGATTTAAACCACAAGAGAAAAATAATCATCCAGCATAAACCTACAGATAAAGTTTATTTGATAAACTGCTGATGGAAGATGAAATTTGAGCAAAGAGGGTTTTATGTATGAGACTATTCCTTCTCTGTAGATTATAGGAGAGGGATGTGTGTTACCTTAGGG